TTTAAATTATTTAAATTATTTAATTCTGGGAGGGGGAAGGGGCCGGGTGGGGCCTGCCCCCCCCCCTTTTCGGATTTAAATTATTTAAATTATTTAAATTATTTAAATTATTTAAATTATTTAATTCCGGGGGGGAGAATTAAATAATTTAAATCCGAACCCCCCCTTTCAGATTTAAATTATTTAAATTATTTAATTCCCCCCCTGGAATTAAATAATTTAAATAATTTAAATAATTTAAATAATTTAAATAATTTAAATCCGAAAAGGGGGGGGCCAGGCCCCACCGGGCCCCCTCCCCCTCCCAGAATTAAATAATTTAAATAATTTAAATCCGAAAGGGGTGTTCAGGATTTAAATTATTTAAATTATTTAATTCTGGGAGGGTGAGGGGGCCCGGTGGGGCCTGCCCCCCCCCCTTTTCGGATTTAAATTATTTAAATTATTTAAATTATTTAAATTATTTAAATTATTTAAATTATTTAATTCCTTGCCCCAGACCCCCCAGAAACGATAATAGGGTCTATTTGGAAGTTGTCTCTTGTAAATAAGTATACGTTTTGGGGCCTTATTTCCTCTTTAAAACACGAGTGTCAGCTTCCAAATAGACCCTATTTAAGCTGCCACTGGGGGGGGGGTAGGGGGGGGTTGTCCCCGGGCACTTTTCCATGGAGGGTCAGGCCACGGACCATAGGCGGTTTCGCACAGGACATAGGGGCCCTTTGCCCCTCCCTACCCTGACCCCCCTAACCCCCCCCGCCCCCTTACCTACACCCCCCGTACCCAACCCCCCGCCCCTCCCCCCCTACCCCCCCCCTACCCCCCCCTAACCCCCCCCTACCCCCCCCCTACCCCCCTACCCCCCCCCCACCAACTTTGGCATCCTGTGACCTAACCAACGCGTTTAAACCTTTCAACTATGCTCCAGCGGGGTCGGCGGCTTGAGCCGGAGGCTCTTAAATTTGGGGTTTGGGGTTTGGGGTTTGGGGTTTGGGGCTTGGGGTTTGGGGTTTGGGGTTTGGGGCTTGGGGTTTGGGGTTTGGGGTTTGGGGCTTGGGGTTTGGGGTTTGGGGTTTGGGGTTTGGGGTTTGGGGTTTGGGGCTTGGGGTTTGGGGTTTGGTGTTTGGGGTTTGGGGTTTGGGGTTTGGGGTTTGAGCTTGGGATTGCAGGTTTCCGCGCTTACGGATTTGCAGGTATAGAGTTTCGGCGTTTAGGGTGTTTTTTCAGGCTCTGGGGTTTTGTGTATAGGCTTGAGGGAACTCTTTACTTTAAACTTGCTGAACCCGAAAGAAACCCTACACCCCCAAACCGAATCCTTTGCCCAACTCTTTTCATTCCAAAAGGATGGTTTGCCTTCAGAGTCCAACTTTGACCAGTTTTGTCCGTGCTTTAGGCTTAGGATTTAGGATTTGGGTGTTTAAGGTTCAGGGCTTAATTGAGGTCTAGGGTCTAGGGCTTAGGATTCGCCTCACATGCCTTGAAGCTCAAGGCTTTTGGGGCTTAGACGTTAGTCTTTAGGGATGTGCATGCCTACTCAAGGATTGGGTGTGGGAACTACTTGGAAGCTCTTATGGCTCTTTTGTGACGTACTAAGCAGGGTTAGTCAGTAGGGCCGCGAGATTTTTCTATGGTCCCTAGGGGATACGAGGTAGACTTACGAAGTCAAAAGGGCTTCCAAGTTCAGATCTTGGAAAACTCCTTGATGAACTGGACCAAGTACTGTCGGTTCAACTCGACGGCTTCCTGCCAGGAAGATTGAGGGTTTAGGGTTGCAGGGTTTAGGGCTTGGGGCTGAGGGTTTAGGGTTTCGGGCTTAGAGTTGAGGATATGTCCTTAGATGCCTACCCTAAAGCTTGTAGTTAGTGCTTGCATTCGCTGCGTCTGAAGGGATGCTCACCATCCCTGGCCCGACATGCCCCTTCTACCGGGCTTCCTTAGCATCGAAAGGGTTTAGGGTTTAGGGCGTTGGGGTTGTAGGTCTAAGGTTAGCCCTAAAGCAGCTGCGGTTCTCCTGGTGTCAAGCTCTGTTTACTTCATGATCTTAGTTGACCGCTCCACCGCCGTTGCCGGCGGTCCCACAGCAATCCGGAAACCACAGCCACAAAACATTGAGGTCGAGTTTCATCAAGCATAGCATCGCGATGCTTCTTGGCTTGGGAAGAGTGCTTTCTGAGGGATTAAGGCCCAGTGGCCAGGTATTCAGGGCCCAACAGATCAAAGCACTGAAAGCCTTTACGTTGTCTAGCGCCTAGGGCAGATCAAACATAACACGTTTCAAGCCCAACAGGAAGACACCCTCCACCTGCTTTTGCTTCAGACAGGCTATGACATGCCGAGGCACGAACTTTAGGACTGTATCGCTGCGGGTAGAGTGTCGCAACCCTGACACATCCCCAAGCCCTAAACCCTAAACTCCAACCAACCTGAAAAACCCTAAAGAAACCCAACCCCCCAAGCACTGACCCTTAGCTAGCCTGTAAAGCCCCAGAAAACTCACCCCGAACCCTGAAGCCCGAAACCCCAAGTCCCAAACCCCCAAGCCCTAAACCCTAAACCCTAAACCCTAAACCCTCAACCCTAAACCCTAAACCTTAAACCCTAAACCCTAAACCCTAAACCCCATTCAGGCGCCCTAAGGCACTGTTTGGGGCCTCGGCCATGATCTGGTTCACAAAAGCTGGGATCGCCCTGCACTTCTCCTTGAAATCGAGTTGAGGGTTTAGGGTTTAGGGTTTCGGGTTTAGGGTTTAGGGTTTAGGGTTTAGGGTTTAGGGTTTAGGGTTTAGGGTTTGGGCTGTAGGGCTTAGGGCTTAGGGCTTAGGGCTTAGGGTTTAGGGTTTAGGGTTTAGGGTTTAGGGTTTAGGGTTTAGGGTTTGGGGTGTAGGGCTTAGGGCTTAGGGCTTAGGGTTTAGGGTTTAGGGTTTAGGGTTTAGGGTTTAGGGTTTAGGGTTTAGGGTTTAGGGTTTAGGGTTTAGGGTTTAGGGTTTAGGGTTTGGGACTGCGCTTTCGCCCGAAACCGAGCCAAACCTCTCAAATCCCGAATCTCAACCTCAGCCTTTACCCCCCACATCCTACCCCAAACCCGAAATCCTAAACCCTAGATCCTAGCCCCTAATTAATGACGTTCCCCCAAGCTGCGGTCCAGATAACCTTTCATACAGTGATTCCTCTAAACGAGACCTTCCGTCAGTTGGCATCCCTTACCCCTCAAACCCTGAAAACACCCAAAACCGGCATCCCAACATAGAAAAGAAACCCTGAACCCTAACCCCCCCAAACCCCTTAAACCCCAAACCCTCGAAATCTTGCAGCCCTAAACCCTCCGAACCTTGAGAAACCCTATGCCTAAAAAAAAACTAAACCCTAAACCCTAAACCCTAAACCCTAAACCGCAAAAAACCTTAACCTCCCTGGCAGGTCTCTGTCAGGCCCGCGGCATGAGAGAAGACCCGGAGATTCACCTGGCGGCCCATAGAAGCCGAGGGCTCTCTGGGTTGAGGGTTTAGGGGTTTGGGGATGGTTTGGGGTTGAGGGTTGAGGGTTGAGGGTTGAGGGTTGAGGGTTGAGGGTTGAGGGATTAGGGGTTTGGGGATGGTTTGGGGTTGAGGGTTGAGGGTTTAGGGTTTAGGGTTTAGGGTTTAGGGTTTAGGGTTTAGGGTTTAGGGTTTAGGGTTTAGGGTTTAGGGTTTAGGGTTTGGGGGGTTTAGGGTTTAGGGTTTAGGGTCAACGGTCTAAGGGTTGAGGGTTGAGGGGTTCTGGGGTTTAGGGGTTTAGGGGGGTAGGGGTTTCGGGTTTAGGGTTTAGGGGTTTAGGGGTTTGGGGGTTTAGGGGTTGAGGGGTTGAGGGGTTTAGGGGTTTAGGGGTTTAGGGGTTTAGGGGTTTAGGGGTTTAGGGGTTTAGGGGTTTAGGGGTTTAGGATTTTAGGGGTGTAGGGGTTTAAGGGTTTAGGGGTTTAGGGGTTTAGGGGTTAGGGTTTAGGGTTTAGGGTCTAGGGGCTAGGGGCTAGGGTTTAAACCCTAAACCCCAAACCCTAAACCCTAGCCCCTTTCTGAAACCCTAAACCCCAAGCCCTGAACCCTGTTTTGCAAAGTCGGCAAAGGCTCTCGAAACCCTAAACCTCCACCCACTGGCTGGGGCGAGGGGGGGTGGGGTGGGGAGGGGGTCTCCCAAACCGCCCTAAAGCTCAGATGTTCAGGGGGTTTAGGGTTCCAGGTTTTCGGGTTGAGGCTTCGAGGTTCTAGGGTTGAGGGTTTAGGGTTAGGGTAGGGTGTAGGGTCTAGGGTCTAGGGTCTAGGGTCCAGGGTCTAGGGTCTGGGGTCTGGGGTTTAGGGTTTAGGGTTTAGGGTTTAGGGTTTCGGGTTTAGGGTTTAGGGTTTAGGGTTTAGGGTTTAGGGTTTAGGGTTTAGGGTTTAGGGTTTAGGGTTTAGGGTTTAGGGTTTAGGGTTTAGGGTTGCGGGTTGAGGGTTTAGGGTTTAGGGTTTACGCCGCCGGAAGGCCAGGAAGAGGATCATCAAGGGCAGCACGGCCAGAACTTCGACCAGCATCGGGAAGAAGAAGAACTCGGACCTGAAGGCAACCTGATGCGCTGGGAGGAGGTTTAGGGTTTAGGATTTAGGGTTTAGGGTTTAGGGTTTGGGGTTTAGGGTTTAGGGCTGAGGGCTTAGGGTTTAGGGTTTAGGGTTTAGGGTTTAGGGTTTAGGGTTTAGGGTTTAGGGCTTGCGGTTAGGGCTTGGGGTTTAGCAGGGGGTGGGGGGGTGGAGGGGCTTTCTCTGAAAGTTTAAGGTCTTGACGCTGCTTGAAAGGGTTTCAAGTTTAGGGTTTAGAGTTTGGGGGTGTCGATTTTGGTTCTTTTGGGTTTTCAACCAGGGGTTTTCGGCTGAGCTTCATGGGGAGCTACGGCTGTTGTTGAAAGGAGTAGCTACAGTTGTTCGTAACCTTTTCGGGGCTTCTTGACGCCTCAAGTAGAGGGGATGAAAGCATTTCCAGAGATTCCAACACCATTTGTTAAGCACATAACCCTTAACGTGTGAGGGTTTAAGGTTAAGTGTTAAGTAGTTCAGAATTCATGATACTTGTTGTGGATATCTGCTGTCAACATCAGTTTATGATACGGGTGATGCGGACTACTTAACAAGGGGGGTCAATGGGAGTCTGATAGGGTTTCGGGTTTTTTCAATACATTAATACTATATTATTTCTCGATTACTACTATACTATTACAAAACTATTCCTATATTATTCCCATGTTTTCCACTTAATTACATACTAGCACCTGAGATTCCTAGATTACTAGAATACTAGAGTACTAGATTGCTATACTTTTTAATTGTTACAGTATTATGTTAGTATTATATAGCTTTCCATGAAGCATTGGTAAGTTGTAGAACCTTGGCGTTACAGCTCCCCAGAACGCTGATCCCCGAAACCCCCCGGACCCTAAACCATAAGACCCCAATCCCCGAACCCGAAGCCTCCCTGAGGCCGGAACCCTAAACCCTAAACCCAAAACCCTAAGCCCTGAACCCTAAACCTCAAACCCTAAACCCTAAACCCTAGTGGCCCTAGTGGCGGTTTCAACCCAGGACCTCTGGCACTGAACACATCAGCAAAGCTTCCGCGACCGCCCCACCCAGGAAGAGCAAAAAGCCAAGATAGCCAAAGACCTTGCTTGGAGGTTCACGGTTCAGGGTTAGGGTTTAGGGTTTAGGGTTTGGGGTTTAGGCTTTAGGGTTTAGGCTTTAGGGTTTAGGGTTTAGGGTTTAGGGTTTAGGGTTTAGGGTTTAGGGTTTGGGGTTTAGGCTTTAGAGTTTAGGCTTTAGGGTTTAGGGTTTAGGGTTCAGGGTTTAGGGTTTAGGGATTAGGGTTTGGATTACGACTGGGAAGCAGGGTCTCCATCCCTACATCTAGTTGTTGACCCATATCTGGGTCTAACCCTATGCCCTAACACAGACCCGCAACCTCAAGACACTCTCGAAACCCTAAACCCTAAACCCTAAACCCTAAACCCTAAACCCTAAACCCTAAACCCTAAACCCTAAACCCTAAACCCTAAACCCTTACCCCAAAAAGCCCTAGACACTGCCGCCGGGATGCCTGCAACACAAGGAAACTGTTTTGAAGCTCCCGGCCAACGAACTTCAGGAGCGCCTGTTTAGGGTTTAGGGTTTAGGGTTTGGGGTTTAGGGTTTAGGGCTTGGGGTTTGGGGTTTGGGGTTTGGGGTTTAGGGTTTAGGGTTTAGGGTTAGGGTTTAGGGCTTAGGGTTTAGGGCTTAGGGTTTAGGGTTTGGGGGTTTGGGGTGCTGACCTGTTGCTGGCCTTAGGACTACGGGAACTGATGCTGTAGAGCTGTAAGTTTACGTCTGAGCGAGCCCTTCCTCAATGCCCGCACAACCTTGCATGACAAAGCCAGATTCGGCTTCGTCCCGATTCCACCCGTTCGCGGGCGAGACCTCAAATGCCGAAGCTCTCTTCCCCCACAAGCACGAGCTGACCCAGCTAACAAGCAGAGAAGCCAAGAAAAGTCTAGCAGGTTGAGAAACACCAAGGCCTGTTCTCGCGACGGAACCTTCAAAAAACTCGCAACAGGGTCAAGAAGACAGAGGTCTTTCTCAGCTGTCTCGCAGAAACATGCGCTGAATGATTGGGGAAAGACGGGAAAGATCCGCAACCGAATTCATTTGGTGGCAGATCACTTCGCCAAGCAGCCAAAGCGCAAGTGAAACGGCGTTTTTCAAGCAACGCTGCGCCCAAGCGACGCTGCATATCTGTGAGTAGTGCAGGGATCATCAATGCTCTCGGTCCAGGCAAGCTACAAGTTTTGGGGTGGTGGCTTGGCGCTTAGCTAAACCTCCCACCTAGACCAAGGCCCCCGGAGCCCTCAATCTTAACCCTAAACCCTAAACCCTAAACCCTAAACCCTAAACCCTAAACCCTAAACCCTGGGTTATGGCAAAGAAAGGGGCCTGCATGGCATTCCAACTTTGCACGCCCAGCGCAAAGTTTTGGTGGTTCCTGGGCGAGGGTTCAGGGACGAGAGCCGCCCCAGACATCACCGAAACATGAAATCCCGAGTTCTTTTGTGTACTTACGAATAAGGCCGAGGACAGCAGTTAGTGAGCTAGTTAATTTGTTGGCTATTCATGTGTGTAGTGTTTCGACTATGCACCTTATGTGTTCACTGAAAGGTTTTGGGGGGTGGCATCCATGCCGGCCTTTTGACACCCTAAGCCTTAAACCCTAGTCCCTAAACCCCATCAACGCGGGCCTTTTCAACCCCTAAGCCCCAAACCCTAAACCCTAAACCCTGAACCCTAAACCCTGACCCTAAACCCTAAACCCTAAACCCTAAACCCTAAACCCTGAATCGAATACCCGGCCGTGGCTCCAGATCTCACTGCACCAGCAGTCGAGACTCCTCGGCAGGCACAACACCGGGTTTAGGGTCGAGGGTTTAGGGTTTTGGGTTTTGGGTCTAGGGTTTAGGGTTTAGGTTTTAGGGTTTAGGGTTGAGGGTTTAGGGTTTAGGGTTAAGGGCCATCCCAAAATGCAGGGTCTAGGTTTTTAGACCCTTTAGGCTTACACAACTCAACCCGATGCCCCACACGACGCAACCTAACGAACTACTCTAAACTTCAGTTTGGCCGGGGGGTGTAGGGGGGGGGGGGGGGGGTAGGAAGGGCACGTGGGGTGTAGGGTGAGGGGGTGTCGTGTTCGGGGGGGAGGGCGAGCTCTCAAGGCCAAGCAGCTTGTCCAAGCCAATCAGGAGGTGTGACTGGATGTACGCCACAATCCTCCAATCTGGGCCGATTTAGGGCGGGCATTCCTGAGATTCTGACATAGGTTCTGAGGACTAGGCCTTGTTGGGTAGCGTCCAACCAAGTTCATTGTTCAGGGCTTTAGGGGGTTTAGGGCGTTTAGGGCAAAGGGCGTCTGAAGCTCCACAAAATCTCGAACTATGTCTGCGTCGCTTCCTGGAGCGTCCTGAGTAAACTCATTGCCACCTTCTGTCTCCCTTAAACCGCACCCGAAACCACATACCACACAAGGAACAACAGACTCCCTACTGTTTCACCCCAAACCAAGCATCAACATGCTCTAAACAGTCTCTAAACCCTCGACCAAAGGCCCCGGCTCCCCACTCGACCCTAAACCCTAAACCCTAAACCCCCATATTCTAAACCCTAAACCCCAGCCTGGGTTTTGGGGTTCATAGAAGTTCGGCTCAGGCGGCTTGGGGTTCAGGGCCATAGTGGAGACCCCAAACTAGCCCCAAACCCTAGATCCCAACCCCTAAACCCGAAACGGCCCCAAACCCCTAAATCCCAAACCCTAAGCCGTGCGGTCATGATAATCGCGCTGGCAATCGCGAAGTTGATGACGGACAAGCCTTTGAGCCTGGATGTACGGGTTGTGGGCTCACTCAGGGTCTCAGGGTTTAGGGTTCAGGGTTCAGGGTTCAGGGTTTAGGGTTTAGGGTTTAGGGTTTAGGGTTTAGGGTTTAGGGTTTAGGGTTTCGGTCTGGGCTCAGGGTTTAGGGTTTCAAGGTCTGGGTTTAGGGTTCATGACTCACGGTCAAGGATCTTCTTTGTGTTCAGGCTTTAGAGATTGGGGCGCTAAGGGCTTAGGGTTTCTAGGTCTTGGAGTTCAGGTAAGAAGATACATCCCTAAACCCGAAACCCGAAACCCGAAACCCGAAACCCTAAACAAACCCGAAACCCTAAACCCTAAACCCTAAAAAGCCAAGGTGGCTCCTTACACAAGAGCCCCAAACGGAAGCCAGACATTGGCGGCACAGCCACGAAATCATGACGACCTTCATGAGGCCGTCTCTCTGCACCTGGGCCAACACCCCCTAAACCCTAAACCCTAAACCCTAAACCCTAAACCCCTAAACCCTAAACCCTAGGGAGTGAGGGAACTAAGCCCCTACATATATATACATATATATATATATACATACATACATACATACATACATACATACATACATACATACCCTTTAAGGGATTATACAGGGTACCTCATTCCCTCATTCCCTAAACCCGAAACCCTAAACCCTAAACCCTAAATCCTAAACCCTTAACCCTTAACCCGAAACCCTAACCCGGCCAGACCAGTTCAGGTTTGGGACATAGGGAAAGTTCTTCCTGCTTGCTGCCGGGGCACCTCCTCCGCGGAGGTGTCCTGCGCTGCAAAACCACACGATTGAGATGCTGCTGGTTGGGTTTTTGGGTTTAGGGTTTAAGGTTTAAGGAGGGTTTAGGGTTTAGGGTTTAGGGTTCAGGGTTCAGGGTTTAGGGTGTAGGGTTAAGGGTTTAGGGTTTACGGCTTAGGGTTTAGGGTCAAGCTTTGCCCATTCAGATAGTTGGTGACCCTCTTTCAGAATGTCTCATGGTACTTCGACCTGCAGGAAAGACCCACGCAACAAGGCCCACACCCTAAACCCTAAACCCTAAACCCTAAACCCTAAACCCTAAACCACCCTAAACCCCATACATCTCAAGGACACTCAAACAGAATCATCCCAGGACTTGGCCCATAGCACCATTCAGATTGAGCCGCCCCGGGACACTGACCTTTGCGCCTGAGCCTGAGCCCCACAGCCCCTCCCCCCAATATTCGCACCCCCCCCCCCTTTTACCTGAAGACAGGGTGTAGGGTTTAGGGTTTGGGGTTTAGGGTGTAGGGTTGAGGGTCTAGGGTTTAGGGTTTAGGGTTTAGGGGTTTAGGGTTTCGGCAACCCTAAACCGTCAGTCCCTCCACTGAACGGAGAGGCGTCCTCCGTTCTCACACACTCCAGCCCCTGCGAAACCGTGAAGCACAGCACCTTGGCAGCAGGCCCAGAACTTCCGAACGAGCGTTTTGGGTATGAGGTTCGGTGTTCAAGGTTTTAAGGGTAAAGGTTTAGGCATTTCGGGGCTGGGGTTTACAGCAGAGCACAAGAGCACCCCATGCACAGTGCAGATCTTCAGGGTTTAGTGTGTAGGGTTTAGAGGGCTCTCATGCGAGTGCATGCGCTTGGGGCCGAGAACACCCCTGACCACCCACACGACTCGCTTTCTGGGTTTAGGCTGTATGCAACCATTCTTCTGTCTGTGTCTAGGGATAACAGGAACCAATCCAGTCCTTCGTTTCGGAAGGTTGCTTTGAACTCTGTAGAACGCAATGATGTCTAAGCAATGCGTTTGCTGGACAACGATGCTCTACACGATGACCTTTGGGTACATCGTCTCTCTGACTGGGTGCGAAGAATGGGCCGTCTCCTTGCTTTTGCGATACGAACATTAGAATAAAAGCTGCCACTGAGCAATGAACCCGTCCCTCTCTCTCTATCGATTTCGTAACATTGGTTCCAGATCTGGTTTAGGGAGTTTAAGGTCTACCGTTTAGGGTGATTCACAGGACGTGGCCGGCTCGGCTGCAGGTGCTCTGCTTCATCAAGGTTCGGTCAAGGCAGAAAAAGGCACCAGAAAGGTTTCCACACTTTCCGAACCCTAAGCCCCAAGCCCCAAACCCCAAACCCTAAACCCTAAACCCTAACCCAGATTCGCCGTCTGTTGCTGGATCGCGTGCGGGCTATTGACATGCGTGTGGTTCGGAGCCCCTAAACCTTAAACACTGAACCCAAAACCCTAAACCCTAGACCCTAAACCTGAACCTGGGGCCCAAACCCCTCGACCCCTTGAACCTTGGAGCCTTCGCGTTGGCAGCACAGGCACAGACGCCAGCCACGCCATGGCGAACTTTCGCCACTCCTTCCCCGACACCTCGTGCCTGGGACGGTTCATGCGGGTTTAGGGTTTAGGGTTTCGGGTTTAGGGCTTAGGGCCTAGGGTTTAGCATTTAGGGTTCAGGGTTTAGGGTTTGGGGTTTTGGGTTTAGGGTTTAGGGTTTAGGGTTTAGGGTTTAGGGTTTAGGGCTTAGGGCTTAGGGTTTCGGGTTTCGGGTTTAGGGTTTAGGGGACAGGGGACAGAACGGGTCGATGTTGGCACTGTAGAGCATAAGGCTTGGAAGTTGAAGTCTTTGTTAAGGGGTTGATAGGGTTTTATACGGGGTTTTATAGGGGGGTTTATACACTTATGGGGTTTTATAGGGGGGTTTATACACTTATGGGGTCTTATACGCCTATAGGGTTATATACACTTATAGGGTTTTATACACTTATAGGGTTTTACACACTTGTGGGTTTTATCGGGGGGGTTTAGGGCTTAAAGGGTTTCACAGGGCTTGTATGCGTTGTAGGTTTGGAGGAAAAGCACCTACAACATTGGCGGATGTATAGGGTTCATCCCTCTACCCTATACCCTCTACCCTGAGCACTAGACCCTCAACCCTAAACCCTCACCCTAAACTCTAAACCCTAAACACTAAGCTCGAGCCCTAAACCCTAAACCCCAAACAAGGCCCGGGCTCAGGGCTCAGGATTTTGGGTTCCTTAGACCATTAAACCCTTAAACCCTAAACCCTTAGCGCTTAAACTCATGCCTGGAGACCCACAGCAGCCAGAACACTCCTAGGACATGTCCCACAAATCTAAACCCAACCCAAGAACCCCCCAGAACCCCCCACCGGAAAGCCCCGAAAACCCCCCCGAACCCGCCAAAACCCTCAGCCGCCAGGTTGCCAGTTAACCTCGAAGTCGGCGACGAATTCGTGCCTCAGCGAAGGCTTTCCAGGGTCCCGTAGCTCTTTTGCTAGGAGGGGGGAGGTTCGATCTCCCACCCTACACCTATACTCAGAAGTACATTCGACCTTCCCTAAAAGTTCCCCAGACCCAAACCCTGCTCCCTGCTATCACTGCCTATAAGTTCCCTCTCAGTCCTAACTGCCCGGCCCGGATCCTGAAACGTGAAGGCTCTCAACCCGGTAACCCCAAGCCTTAAACACCCTAAGTTTTCTAGGGTGCGGTGTTGGCAACCTCCCCAAACCCGAAACCCTGAAACCTAAACCGTTTAACCCTAAACCTTCATTCCATGCAACCCTGGATTCTCATTTCAAAAAAACAACTTAACCCCAACAAGTTGGGATGTTTCCCCTTGTACTAACAGTCATAGATAGGGATAAAAATACCCCCTATTCTCATCCATACTAAGGACTGTTAGTAATAAGGGGGAACAACCCTAAACCCTAAACCCTCCACCCTAAACCCTAAACCCTAAACAAAGCCTTAGACCAGGCCACAGCCGGAAAACCCACCAATGCTTGCCCAGGCTGCAGCCGTTCGAGAGACAGCTTGAGTTGCTCCGACTTCCTGCAGGAGGCTTAAGGGTTTAGGGTTTAGGGTTTAGGGTTTAGGGTTTAGGGTTTAGGGTTTAGGGTTTAGGGTCTAGGGTTGGGGTGCAGGGTGTAGGATGTAGGGTTTAGCACGCAGGTGTTGAAACCCTGAAGCTCTTCAAGACTGTACACCCTTACTCTCTTAAACCCCTAAGCCCCCTTGATTGAAACGTGTGTTTGGAGGTTCATGGATGGTTATGCAGGTTTCTCTTTTTTTGTCTTAGAGACAGAGAGAGAGCGCGAGAGAAAAAACAAATAAAAGATATAAAGGGAGAGAAGAAAAAGAGAGAGGGAGTGAGAGAGAGAGAGAGATAAAAAGAGACACTGCGAAGAGAGAGGGAGAGAGAGAGAGATAGAAAGAGAGAGAGAGAGATAGAAAGTGCGGGCAGAGAGACGCGGGGCTTTTGGGTGCACAAAGGATACGGGGGCAACCGAAAGGGGAAAGGAAAGAATCTCAACCCTTGGTTGCCTAAATGAACTCCCTGAACCGAAGAACACAACACAGATCCAGACAAGAGCACCCGAAGGAGAGAGGGGGATATCCTTACCAAAGTAACCAGACACCAACCCCAACTCCAAACCCCAGGGCACTACTTTTCGCTTTGAACAGCCGTTGTTAGTGGCCATTCTTGAGCCACAAAGGTTACCAGGTTCATTGACCCTTTATCCTTCAACACCAACCCTTTTTCACAATACAAACTGCAGCTCCGCACTCCCCCTGTCCTAGGATTTCCTAGGACACACATTGGAGGTGCAGACTTTTGGCCAAAAACTGCCATTAGGGCAGCAGCCAGCTGCTTGGAATGCATATTATGGTTTTACGTCATCCAGGACGAATTTATAGCACATTGGCTAAACACCTTTTACCACAGAGAATCTTTTTTCCACCATGATTCTCTTGTCATTGAAGACTCTTCAGTCTTCTTCACCACGAACCGTGGTCTTCGCTACGCAAAAGGCTACTGACTTCTACTATCAGGGATTTCCATACCCTTAATAGTAACCACCATACTTTCAGCACATTGGCTGTTCCAGCGCACCTGTCTTCAGAAAGAGAAAAAACCATTCCCTCATCAATACCCTCCAGTCATCCCTTCTTCTTCTTCCGGTGGGCATCGATGCTTAGGTGAAGTCGCAGCAAAACATGCTCCAGGTCCGACACTGTAAGAACAGGATCCTGCACGCACCTTTGAATTGAGGATACCAATCCTTCTCTCTTCGCGTCCTCAATTGCTTGGCAAGATTGACCCAGCTCTGCATCCACAGTAGTAGACGCTTGCGCATCCACATCAGAGGAACGATCCTTTTCCTCAGGACCTTTCACCACTACCACCTCTTCCTTCTTGGGGCTTTGACTTTTCTCTTTCTTCCTCGTCTTTCCCACGACGCTTGACTTTGTGCGCATTCTCGAAGAGGCCTTTTCCCCTCCAGAAACCACCGCATTGGATGATGATCCACCCTTCTCAATGTTCGCCGGCATCTTCTTCGGCTTTGGAACCAGAAGAGTATAAGGATCCTCGCTAGCCGCAGTTTTCCTCTTCTTTTTGGCCTTTTTCACCTCTTCCTCAACGGCAACATCCGTCTCCGAAGTTCCAACCACCTCCTTTTCGGCAGGAGTATCCTTGCTGGACTCCCTTTCTAGGGACCTCTTTTTGCCCCTTTTGGGATCTCTCTCTTCTTCCATATTGGCTCGCTCGAACCATATCCTCAGGTCATTGACCCATTCTTCCACGTCCGCCAGCGAAACCTCATACGACTTCACTATTTCGTGAAGTTCCAGCAAGGACAGCATACCAGTGGTCCATGAACACCATTCTGTATCCATCTGTTCAGCGTCTCCATTGAACTTCAGGAGTTTGAACACTGGGTCCGCCTCTGCACGAGCCAAATCTGACTTGCCATTGGACATAAATGAAATCGCCTCCATCAGCAGTTCTACCATTTTGGTATCATCGTCATAAACCATGAAATCCTCCTCTTCTTCATCAAACCGTTCAGGAGAAATCTCCTTTCCTCCACCTCTTGTACCAGAACTTCTCCTTGGACCATCCCTTGGGGGCGTCCTTGGAGACCTTGGCCTCTGTTCATCCAGCGGATCACCATGCTCAAAGACACACTTGTCCCCATAACGGCACTTCCCAGACTGAGCAAACTGGATACACCTTACACCAGTTGCATTGTGTGAGAACTTACAGTTCTCTCCAGAGAAGCAGTGTCTCCCATCCACATAGTACTTGCACCAATACGATTGTAGCACCACATCATCTTCTGAATGGATGAATTTGCAATTTTCACCAAATTTGCAGCGATCTTTTCCCCTGCTGAACCAATAGCAGAAGCCTTTCTTCCTCTTCTCCAGACGCTCCGCCTCGTACCGGTCCATAGGGCGATTCTGCTCTACATGAACATTGCCATGTACCTGAGAACTGCTCCCTTCACCCAAGGTGCTATCAGTATTTGATGCTTTGAGTACAGCTGGAAAACCTGGCCTTGGTCCTACCACCTTCATGATTGGTTTTCCACCAGCTCCTGAGCCATGCTGAGACGATCCAAAAACATTGAACATTTTCACGAAGGCCTTTCTAGTGCCGATCTTCTGCACCCTTTTGATTGGATGTTTCATTGCTCCAACCTTGCATCCAGATACATTCGAACGACACAACCTCCTATACCCAGCTCTATATCCCTTTTTCCAAAGAGCCATAAGAATTCTAGAGGCAGTAACATTCTCCACCTCTACCTTTTCCGACTGTCCCTCACTTTCCGTAACAAACCCATCCAACCCATCCATATCTGAAGACCTTTCCATCTTTTTTGACACCACTTCGTCGAGGTAATCTTCAGAGATCCAGGGTAAGTTCCTCTTAGAGGAAAAATCGTCACCATTGTCCGGTCCTTCACCAGGATACCCCTTCGTGCTGTCAAAGATCCTACCAGTAGTGCGGTCCTGCGTAGAGAAATCCCAGTTGGAAGCGACACGAGAATACACCGACCACAAGAACATCCTTGTGCCAGCCAATCTTGACGAACCACTGGATGTCTCCTCTTCTGGAGAAACTTCTGGCGCTTTGCCATCCCTTCCAGCGTCACCAATTTTCTCACCTCCAGCATCTTCAATGGGAATAGGGGATTCATTGATCCCTTGTTCAAGTACCGCATCTTGCTGTCCGAGAATCTCCAGCACCATCCCTGAAGGATCCACTTCCTCGTCAGCATCGTCGTCCATCCTGTTCCAGAGAACCTCCAATTGATCAGCACAAGTCGCCGCCTGAAGGAACTCCATCATTTGATCCTTCCCGCGCTGCCAGAGAAATTCCGAATTCACCACTGACCCTTGGCCTCCTAGGGTAAGGAACGGAGCAACCAATTTGGCTACCCTCGCCATAAGTTCAACGTGAACTTCCATGCCTGGACTGCGACTCCAATCGTAGGCAATTGCCTCCATAGCAGTTCCAAACTTTTCAGTATTTCTGAATTCCCCTTCCAGACCAGGAGACAGCAACGCTCCCATCACCGAGAGAGGATAATTTCCCACCGCCGGCAAGCACGGATTTTCATGGAACGAATGATGCAAATCACCATAATGTCCTTGATCTCTCCTTTGAAAAAGGAGTGTCCCAGTCTCCAGCTGGGCATTCAGTTCATCCACTTGAACCATTTCAGCACATATCCTCTGTGCTGCAGTTGCTATTGCCGGCCAGATGGTACGATCGGTCAAACCGCGACGCATAACCCAATCAGTTGTTGGCGACTGAATCAGCGTTCGTGGGTCATACACCATAACCACCAATGTACCATCATCCATTGACTGATCAGCATCGTCCGCCAGTGCCAGGTTCAATTCCTGTTCACTTGCACCTTCGGATGACATGCTAATAACCAAATTTCGATCCATTTTATTGGGCCCCTTCTGACAGTCCCTTTGCCCCACAGGCAACTTGCCGACAGCAACCTTCTAAATCCGATTCAGAAGGCCTTTAGTAAGCAATTGCTGAGGGTCCTTCTTCACCGGACGAACATCCAATATCTTCGCACCATCACCACGGAGTTCATTGCTCCCACCTTCTCCTTCTTTTTGGTCGGTCTCCTCGCCAGGAATTTGCACCGCTCCTTCCAGCGCCGTCTCCTGTCCAGCCACTTCTTGCCCAGGAAGAACTTGAGCGCTTTCAGATACATTCACCTGTCCAGCAACACCTTGCCCAGGTAAAACCTCATCCGTGGAGCCCACCGCCAGCGAACCAACTATAACTGAGCCATCCCTTGCTCTTTTTTGAGACTGCTCAGTTCGACGAGAAGGTTGTGGTAGCGAAAAAACTCGAGAAGTCACTTCTTGGCGGGTCTCCCCCCGCGACGCTTTGTCGCGCCCTTCGCCAAGGTGAACCGATTTTTTCTGCCCATCATTGGAGCTTGAAGAACCAGCAAGTGGAACATTGCCACGCGTCGCAGTTCTTTGTGAATCCCTTTCTCGCAAAAAGATTTCCCTCAGGTGTCGCGCGCTGTTGGTTTCTTCCTCGCTTGAATCACCTGAGGAATCAGCATAGGAGACCAAAGCTCCCGTCTGATCATCATCATCCACCAAATCTGCCCACGCTCTGCTGAATGGGTACGACAAACCACCACGGGGCTTTACTGGTTCCAGCGGCTTTGGCTTTTCCACCACTTCCGCCGGCTGCACACGCCGTTGTGAGCGAGAGCGTGGCACCTGTCGCACCTGTTTTTTATCCAGCAAGGGCCTTCCCCTTTTCACAGGGTTTGATCTTGACCGATACGCCTTTGTTGGCGGGTTCACCGGTGGCATTCCAACTCCCACCAATCGCAACCTCTGCACGCACAGCGGGGATCTCTGCGCAAGCGTCCAAGCGTCACGGTACTTGCCGGTGTCGAAAATCTCTCGATAAGACCCTCGCGGCATCTCCTTTGTACCAGGACCTTCAGCTTCACGCACCTGAGAGATAGTTCTCACCCCACCTCTTCCAGCTTCACGGCTTCCAGAAGATTGCTCCATGCGTACCGATGCGTTGGTAGAAACAGCCACATCCGGCGACATTGGCCGGCACTGAACACCACCCACCAATTGCAGAATTTTGCAGGCCGTCACCTTGTTAACTCCTTTTTCCACCAAATCCTCCACGAAGATATACTCTTGTAGCTCTCTGACATTGGTTAGGTGTATACACCCACAAGTGTTTGTTGCGAGCCATCCAATTTTCTATTGGCTCTTCAGGATTCTGAAGACGTACCGTGGTAGACTCTGCCACCGAATCCTTTTGTACATCTCCATCTGCTCCATCCAGTGTATCACCCTCACCTGTTTTCTTTGACACATTGGTCATTTGCAACGCCTGTGGTGCCGAAGATGACGAAGATTCCGCTCCCCCACTTACTGGTGGTTGAAAGGTGTTCCTGTCGGAAATCTCCAATCCTCTTCCTCTTTGAAACGAAACATGGTTCGCCACATTCGCCAGATGCTTCAGTTGGGCCAGTCGCTCTTCAGACATTTCGTCGTGGGAATACTTGCAACCATATCGCACGCGACATCTCCCTTTGAGGTAGTAGTCGAAGCAGCAATGATGGAACCCTGCGTCCCTTATGGCCCTCCGAGAAGCATTGTCCCAGGATCTGCCGGGTTCCCAAGTCCCTTCCAAAACCGCTTTTTCATCGTGCGAATATCTGCAAGAATTTCCATATTTACAACCTCCTTGGTTGTAATACAGACACATTTGCCTCTTTGGCTCGACTGACACAGACTCACCCTTTGATGCACCTTTACCAAAGTTGTACTTGGCTCTGAAAGCTGAATCCTCCCGCTCCTGCTCTGCCTCATCCACTGTGCCTTCTTCTGTAGGAGGGTCGCCAATGTCCCCATCCTCGTCTCCAGCTTTTTGGCTGTTCTTTGGCTCAGTTGGTCCTCCTGCTGGCCAACCTTCACCATAACGCCGATGTTCATAGGAACACTCATCTCCATTGCGACACCTTCCCTGATTGAAAAACTTGCACAGCTTGCTGTACCCTGGCGACACAGTTTTTGGCGTCAGGTGAGCTTTCTTATACTGATCGGGATCCATGTAGGCTTCCATTGGCTTGTTTTCTCTCTTACTCATGGATTCAACTGCACCATCAAGCTCCTGCAAAAACCGCTTGGTATCCAGCCAAAGCGCATTCCAAAGTTCATCTTTGCCTTGACTCAGCAACGTTGCCACCGCTTCACCCACAACTGGTCGACTAAATCTCCTTTTCTTACATGCCAGTTCGTAGAGCGCGTTGTGGTACTGCTTTCGGGAAAAGGTGGTTGTCTTTCCCAAGCTTGCGCCTTCTGTACCATCGGGCTTCCAACCATCACTTTGCAAGATGCCATATGCACGCCGAGCTTCCGCATCCAGGAATGCATGGTCTGCAACACACTCCATTACCTCATCCATTGTACGACTCAGCAGCATCCCAGTGATTTTGCCCACATAGGCCTTATCAGCCTTTCCATCCTCCAGAAGAGCTCTATAGATCTTTTCTCCATAGAGTTGCCTTTCCTCTTGTTCTTCTGAGGATAACTCCTGATCAGCAAACCATTCATCGGATTGCTCTTCCTCCCATTTCCAGTCCCATTGACCGTTGGAATCTTGGTACCATTGACCATCGCACCATGAATTTCCCCACCACGCATCCCAGCCGCCGTCTTTCCATTTGCGCTGCGCTGGAGAAGAGTCCTCATCGTCCTCTTCAAAAACTAGGCAGGAATCTAAAATCACAGTGCCATCATCATCCACCCTCTTCACTGTCGTGCAGACAGTGTCACCAATTTTGAAAGAGGGTGTATTTTTCCCTTCTTCAGGAATCAGCACATTCAGATCACCGTGCTCCAAAAAGGCTCCATGCCCATTGATGCAACGCACCAGAGCAGTGATCCTATCTCCGGCTTGATAACAATGCTCCCCAGGTGTCACCAAGGCTCCCTCATTGGGCACTTCCTTTGCCTGTTCTTCAGAAACCATCTCTGTATCATCGGCTCCTGGAACATCCCTTGTTTCCACCTTTGGGTCAAGCTGCTTGTCCTGCTCCTGCACGAGTCCCACAAGATCATCCACCTTGTGCTCAAGGGGTTCAGGACCTTCCTTTTTTCCAGCCAATGGCTTTGCCTCATCTGTTACAGTTCGCTCGGCGTCGACTTCCGGCAAGCTTTCAGACGGCAATACTTCCCCCTTCGTGGGAGTGGACCCATCATTGGAGTCTTTTGTCAAACCTTCTGCAGCAGGCAAATTTTCTTCCACTGCGGGCTATTGGATTGCTCATCCGCGGCAGGGACATTTTCTTCCACCGCAGGCTCCTTTGGCTCCATGGTTTCCAAAAGAGAATCACCACCATCATTGACCACAGCTGCCTCATTGGCTCCGGTGTAGCCTTTGCTATTTCGTTCCTCGCTGCTAACTTCAGGTTGCACCAGTGCGTCCACCTGTGAACCTCCGTCGTCAGCTGCTGCGGAGACCTGCGCCCCATTGTTGCAGTCGTCCGCGGAACGTGACACCATATGCGCCTCAACCCGTGCTTCCTCCGCACTCCAGGTACTATCTGGCACATTGACCCGTGCTTCATTGGCGCTCCAGGCCTCATCTTTCAGATCAACCGTGTCTCCAGCTATTCCAGAAGCTTCTTTTTTCCCTTGAATGGCAAGATTCTTGGCACCAAACGAAGAGACCTCCTCAGTCGTAACGCACAACTTTTTCCCTCCGTCATCCAAATCTCCAGGACCACCTTCCTGAACGACAAGTACCACATCCACCACTCGCTCTTCTGCAGCCGACACAGTTCCAATCTCCGCATTGGGCATTTTTTCCTCTGGACCCACCGATTCCACCGCTGCCACACCCTCAGAAAGCGCTTTCATCTCTTCCCGATCCAGATGTTTTCCAGCGATGTCTGCTCGGATTCCAGAAATTCCTTCCTCATCAGGAGAACCCGAGGTCTGGGCGTCACCACCAGCCCTAAAACCGCTATCCCTGATAGTAGAGGAAAAATCTTTTTCACCTACACTATTTACACTACCCTGGAATGCCCTCGTAGACTCAGGCGTCGGAGTAGATGATGAAGAACCCAGTGCAGCCTCCATTTCCAGCTCATTGCCCGAAGGAGACCCAACCACCTCGTCACTCTTCATCTTTTCACCTACAACCGGCAACGTCCACTTGCTTTCCTGCGTATCCAGGCAGTAGTAATATTGTCTCCCATCTTCGTGGAAGTGCCATTCCCACGCTGTCCCATCGCACGCTTTGATCAGATGCTCATCTTTCCGAAAACCATCCCTTTCAGAGACTTGACGCATCTCATCCTCTTCTTCTGACAACTGGCGCAACCTTTCAGCCTCCATCTGTAAGATCTCCTCCTCCCCCATGGCGTATCCACCACCTAGGGAACTCACCGAGGGATCCCCTTTAATCTTGTTCAGAGGCCTCCTGGCAGCTTGCAGCACCTCTCCACTCAGATTGGTCTGAGACCCTTGGTCCACCCTTCGGCCCGAAGTTGAAGACGACGGCTGATACCCATGCTTTTGCAACACGCGTAAAACAGTCACCTCCATTTCACGGTCTATACCACCAGTCGCGTCCCAGTTCCTTTTTTCACCAGGCTTTGGCGATACAGAAACAGCACGTCCTTCAGCTTCAGCATTGCTAACCATATCCACATTGGGATTCATACCCACATTGGGGCCTTCTGCAACCAAGGCTTCTTCCAGATGTTCTTCAGCGCCAGGCATTACCTCTTCCAGCACCGCCCTTTCACCCAGAGACTCAGCTGCACCATTTCCAGCTCCACCATTCTGACCACCATCCGAAGAAGGCTGGAGCCATCGCTTGGGAGAAGGCATTGCTTCTTGATCCCAAAAACCTTAAGAGAACACCCAACCGCAGGGAGCCTAATTTGGGCTCATAACCTACGGGGGCAACCGAAAGGGGAAAGGAAAGAATCTCAACCCTTGGTTGCCTAAATGAACTCCCTGAACCGAAGAACACAACACAGATCCAGACAAGAGCACCCGAAGGAGAGAGGGGGATATCCTTACCAAAGTAACCAGACACCAACCCCAACTCCAAACCCCAGGGCACTACTTTTCGCTTTGAACAGCCGTTGTTAGTGGCCATTCTTGAGCCACAAAGGTTACCAGGTTCATTGACCCTTTATCCTTCAACACCAACCCTTTTTCACAATACAAACTGCAGCTCCGCAAAGGAAACGCGCAAGAGAGACAAGGAGGAAATGAGATGAGATGCGGGAAAGAATAGAAAGATGGGGAGGGGGGTTATGAGAACTCAAGAACTGGAGTATTTTGAAAGACATGTCAGAACTAAGGCTTGGAATCCATCCTTTACCGTCAATGGCATCTTCCCACTCATCTAACTCTATGCTAAGCTCAGTGGTGTGTGTGTGTGTGTGTGTCTCCCTCCTACTGTTGGGGTCTGTTGCTGACATAGGTATCAAAATCAGCAGATCAGGTTTTCACAAGCTCTGCCAACAACAGTCTCTTTTGGGGTCCCCGTTGTCGCGCAGAGAACTATGCATGTAGGGCACCCACAAAGGGGACAAGAACTGCCCACTTGGGGATTTGAAGGATCAGAAACACCAGCAGGGCGAACGACATGTCCTGAGCAGTTCCTAAACCTTCGACCCTGAACCCAAAACCCTAAACCCTAGACCCTAAACCCTAAACCCTGCGGCCAGAAAATTTTCAAAGGCTCTCTAGGGCGAGGCCATTCCAAAGTCGGGACGAGCTATGGCTAGCATTAGTCTCTGCTTAGAGCCGCCCCTAAACCGTAAGCCCGAAACCCGAAACCCGAAACCCGAAACCCTAAACCCTAAACCCTAAACCTTCCAAATTCGGCCTCTAGAGCGCTGAGGGCTCTCACTTGGGGAAGCCCAGCAAAAGCCAAGGGGCAGAGCACGCTTGAGCAGGCAGACGCAGCAGATGGACACGAGGCCATAAATTGCGCTGGAGGCGATCTGGGCAAGCTGACTTTAAGAAACTCGCTGTAACAGCACAGCTAGAATGGGAGTCTGGGAGGGGCAGCGTCGATTCGTGCATGTGTATTATATGTATATATATATATATATATATATATATATCTATCTATCTATCTATCTATCTATCTATCTATCTATCTATCTATCTATCTATCTATCTATCTATCTATCTATCTATCTATTATATATATGTACATGTAGGCCAAATTCTGCGAAGGCGAAACTTTGAATGTATGTCGACTTTCGTATTCGGATTTTCCGGTCGGGTCTCCGTGAAGCAAGATGCTCCGGGGGCGTTTGGCTCCAGCCCTGATCCCTAAGATTGGAGGCTGCAGCGCTTCAGGTCGGACGACGCATGAAGGGATGCGTAGCACTTACTTCTCCAACTAAGCAAGCTTACCCTGAACCCTTCGAAACCTAGAACTCTGTGAGGCAAGGAAACCACAGTGGCTTGATTTCCGATGCAGCGTCCTCGTTGGGGGCCGTGCGGGGCTTGGCTTTGGGGCTTCGGGCACATTCGCGGACGCATAGGATCTCCAACCTGAAAGCCCCCCGAGCCTTAAACCCCGAGCCCCAGGCCCTAAGCCCCAAAACCTAAACCCCTCAAACCCTAACCCCCGAACCCTAAACCCTAAACCCCACTCCAAACCCCCAAGGCCCCCTAAACCTGGCAAAGGGACGTTGAAGCTTAAACCGCGGCTGCTCGTCATTACACCAGTGGCCAAGAGTGAGCTCTTGGTGGTCACCTGACCTGGGACGTGAAAAGGGATTAGGGTTTCGGGATTAGGGTTTAGAGTTTAGGGTTTTGGGGCTTCGGGTTGATTCGGGGGGTTGGGGACCATGGGTGCCGCGTAGAGGGTTTAGGGTTTAGGGCTTCAGGGTTTAGGGTTTAGGGATTAGGGTTTAGGGTTTAGGGTTGAGGGTTTAGGGTTTAGGGTTTAGGGTTGAGGGTTTAGGGTTGAGGGTTGAGGGTTTAGGGGTAAGGGTTAAGGGTTTTAGGCTTTAGGGTTTAAGGCTTAGGTAAATGCACAGCAGGAGGCAGAAGGTCAGGAAGGCAATCAGGAAGAAAGCCGCCTGCGCCAGTCGGTTTTAGGGGTTCCCTGAACAAACAATCCCTTGACCCACTGGCCCGGAAGGAATATGCACCCGCGGGCACAAGCTTCAAATGCTGCACACCCCCAAACTCCTCTCCGACCCTAAGCCCTATACCCTATATCCTATTCCCTGTAATTACCCTGTACCCTACAGCCTAATACCCTAAACCCGAAACCTTAAGCCCTAAACTCCTGAATCTTCCCCCACTCTGCCGTTGCACCTCAAACACCTTCAACAAAAGAACCCTTCAGGGCGCACCTTGGGCATCTTGAGAATGATACTCGTGAAGTACGGCCTCGTCTGGGCATGGCCAGTGACCCCAGGCACCCGTCTTTAGCGTAAACAACGCTCAAAAGGGTTTTTTGCTTGGCTAAACGGGCAAAGGGGCGAAAAGTGTCTTCCAGCAACCCTGAACCCTAAACCCCAAACCCTAAACCCTAAACCCTAAACCCTGTGCACGCTCTGCAGGAGTGTAGGAACGAAGAAGGTGCGCTGGGCTTCTGCGGGCACGCCGTAGGGTTTGGGGTTTAGGGTTTAGGGTTTAGGGCTTAGGGCTTAGGGCTTAGGGCTTTGGGTACCCCTAAACACTGAACTTAACCCAACCCCAAACCCAAGGATCCCAGGGAAAAAGTCCAAAAGCTGGCTTCCTAACCTCAGTGACTCAGGGTTTTGGGAGTCGGTGGCTTCCCCAAACCCTAACCCCAAACCCTGAAGCCTAAACCCTAAACCCTAAACCCTAAACCCTAAACCCTAAACCGCAGCAAGCGTCTTGACGTCCTTCTGCCCGACTTCGACTTCGCTTGCAGAGCGATTCGGCTGACCTGACAGGCAGCAGCGCTGTGCTGAGTCTGGCTCAGGTCTCCAGAGGCTTTTAGGGATTTAGGGTTTAGGGTTTCAGGGTTTAGGGATTTGGGGTTTAGGGATTTGGGGTTTAGGGTTTAGGGTTTAGGGTTTGGGGTTTAGGGATTTAGGGATTTAGGGATTTAGGGATTTAGGGATTTAGGGATTTAGGGATTTAGGGATTTAGGGATTTAGGGATTTAGGGATTTAGGGATTTAGGGATTTAGGGATTTAGGGATTTAGTTGGGGTTTAGGGTTTCGGTTTCTAAAGGCCTTGAGCGTTTAGGAGTATGGGGGTTTGGGGGTTTACTGGGTTGTATCATGGTTGTAGAGGGACTTACTTGGATGTTCATGTGTCGTTATCAGCCAGGCCAGAGGTCGTTTACTACAAGGCTAGAACTGCTGTGTTGCTACCACCCTAAACCCTAAACCCTAAACCCTAAACCCTAAACCCTAAACCCTAAACCCTAGACCCTAGACCCGAGACCCCGAACCCTGCTGGTGTGAGCGCAGGGTGCACCTGTACCCTGGGTCTCCCCCAAACCCCTAATTCCCTCCTAGCATCCCACACCCCCTTGCAGGAGATGAACCCAGATGCCTTATGCCCCTGAGCAAGAAAGCGTTGAGGGTTGAGGGTTCAGGGTTGAGGGTTGAGGGTTTAGGGTTTAGGGGCATGACAACTCGTTGATGATTCCCAGTGCCTCGGAAAAGAAGCCGCTTCCGGTAGAATGAGGATGGGCTTCTTGGGTACTTTGTGCCACAACTACTCTAAACCCTGAACCCTGAGCTGCAGATCAGACACAGTCCACCAGAATGAAGGCCTGCGAGTTGCGAAGCAGGTCCTGCATCAGGGTTTAAGGTTTAGGGTTTAGGGTTTAGGGTTTAGGGTTTAGGGTTTAGGGTTTAGGGTTTAGGGTTTAGGGTTTAGCGTTTAGGGTTTTGGGTTTAGGGTTTAGGGTTTAGGGACCGGAGGTCCCGGGATTGTTTAGGATTTAGGGCTTAGGGCTTAACATGGGAAGAGGAACACGTCGAGTGCAGAGCTGCTTGTCCTTTAAAGGATGGAGTGTTCTGGGGCCACGCTATGGGGTTTAGGGTTTAGGGTTAAGGGTTTAGGGTTTAGGGTTTAGGGTTTAGGGTTTAGGGTTTAGGGTTGAGCGTTTAGGGTTTAGGGTTTAGGGTTTAGGGTTCAGGGTTCAGGGTTCAGGGTTTAGGGTTTAGGGTTTAGGGTTTAGGGTTTAGGGTTTAGGGTTTGGGGCTCCTGCATTACGTTCACAAGCGAGTCCTGCATGTCGGCCCCTTTGTCGGTGGCATGTGTCAGCTTGTTAGCGACGCTGCGCTTGCCCTCCTTCCACGAAGGTGGAGGCTCAAACCTTAACCCCCTAAACCGTAAACCCTCAAACCCCAAAATGACCTTAAAGTTGAGATCCTAAAGCCTACACCCCAAAGCCCAAACCCCGATGTTGTAGTTCTAGTGGGTCAATGGTTTGCACCGACCTTCCAGGGAGCCTGCGCATGCCTAGTTCCGCAAAATGGAAACCTTAACTACACTCGCCAAGGCCACACCCTAAACCCTCCACCCTACGTCATATAAGGGGCTACGTACGAGTTATCTAAGGGTTGTGTCACCATCGGGCTTTCCGCGAGTCCTTCTTCATCTCTTACCTCTCCAAAAAAGAGGAACAAAGACGCGATTGGGGTTTAGGGTCTATTGCTACGGTTCCGTCTTCTCATAAGCCCGAAGTTCGGGAACTGACCGTCAAAAGGCACGCGGCTACCTTGGGTATTCGGGCCTTGGGTGTAAGGTTCTAGGATTTAGGGTTTAGGGTTTAGGGTTTGGGGTTTAGGGTTTAGGGTTTAGGGTTTAGGGTTTAGGGTTTAGGGTTTAGGGTTTAGGGTTTAGGGTTTAGGGTTTAGGGTTTGGTGCTTCGGGCTTAGGGTTCTTTGGGGTTCAAGATGGGCTTTGGGTCTGGGGTGCGGGCTAGCCTGGTCTGGGGCCTCCTCTGCCATGTCGTCCACCTGCTAGGGCTCAGGGTTTAGGGTTCAGGGTTTGGGGCTTAGGGCTTATAGGGCTTAGGGCTTAGGGTTTAGGGTTTAGGGTTTAGGGTTTAGGGTTTAGGGTTTAGGGTTTAGGGTTTAGGGTTTCGAGTTACCTCTATGCTGCCTGTACCCCCAAAGACCGAAAGGTTCAGGGCTCAGGCTTTACACCGTGAACATTGCCACGTGCTTGCTGTTGGTCCTCCCGCTCAGCCTTACTGCGAGAGCGACACTTAGAACAGCTGATACCCGCGTCCGCATCCCCCGAAGGGTTGGCCAACTGTAACTTGAGATCCCCTCAACCCTAAACCCTAAACCCTAAACCCTAAACCCTAAACCCTAAACCCTAAACCCTAAACCCCACACCCTAGGCGTTGTGGTTCGAGTCGGTGAGTAGTTTCCCTCGTGGTCCTCCCGTCTCTGCCATAACCCAGTGCGGATTTGATCCCACTCCGGAGTCCACTGATCTGGTCAGCCCTGGTGGTTCTCCCTTATCTTCCCGTTTTCACGGTCCTCCCCTTTTCCTGTCTGACCCGAGGGGAGGGGGTCTGCCTGTTTTCTCTGGAGTCCACTGATCTGGTCAGCCCTGGTGGTTCTCCTCCAACTTCCCGTTTTACACGGTCCTCCCTTTTTCTTGGCCGACCCGAGGGGAGGGGGTCCAATTGTTCTTCTAGGCACCACTGATCTGGTCAGCCCTGGTGGTGTGCTATACTTTCCCGCTTTGCGGTTCGTCCCTTTTCTGGCCAGTCCGAGGGACGAGGACTTTTTCACTAACCTGGCGGTGCATGATTATTTTCTGGACTGTCTGGCAGTTCCTCCACATCCTCTGTCAAGATTCCTGCACCTCCGCGCAGAGTCTGCGAATCTGCAGCCCACAGGCAGCAGAGGCGGAGCCGTACGAGAGCCAGGACCCTGCTGAGAGTTTTTGTCGACACTGCTCAAGGAGATCCTGGGCAGGTAAGACAGGCCATCGACACGCTTCGATCGCACCACTCCAAGTCAGTTTTGCCAGGGCGTGCTCAATCCCTGCTACACACTCTGGAGATGACGGAGCAGCATGCAGACGGACCATGGAGGTGCAGCCAATGCAAGATGAACGTGAAGGCGCACGCGCATTACTGTGGCAGATGTGGCGGACACTGGTCCAGCTGTGCTCAAAGTACAGCGAGCTACTACCACTGGGAGAGACCAGCGCCCCCTTGGCAAGGAGAACAGAGCCGGTGGAAGTCGCCCCGTCGCAAGAATGCTCACTCACCACGCCGTCCTGGACAAGAGAAGGGCAAAGGGAAGGGGCGTGGTGGAAAGGATGGGAAGACAGAACAGGGGAAAGGAAAGGCACTTGTACAGCCTCCACCCCTGTCGGCGCTTCCGACACCACCGACATCCACGCAGGTTGCGGGGCCCAAGCCGGCCGCTTCGGTGTCCTCTACGCAAGCTACGCCGGAAAAGCAACAGCTGGATGCCCTGATTCAGAGTCTGGCCAAGATGCGAGACAATATCCCACCAGAGACGAAAGCCCTCCTGGATTCCCTGCAGAAGGACAACACGCAAGCCGCTGCCAAGACCCTCCACAGGGCAGTCGCAGCCCAGGCCAATGCCAAGCAGCAACTGGCCAAGGTTCGTGCGGAAAGGGAACAGTACCTGAGTGCGTGGCTCACATATATCGAGCAAGTCACCGACCTTCTGGACAAGCAGCTGGGAGAACAAGAGACAGCACTGGAGCAGTATGCGGATGCAGAGATCCAGTGGGCACAAGCACTTCAGATTGCGAATACCGATCTGAATCGACTGGTTGCAGACGCTCCCCCAGGCACCACAGACCAGGAGACAGCAGCGATGGAGGAGTCAGAAGCTATGGTGGTATCAGCTGTAGAGACGGAGAACCGCATGGCAGCAGAGAAGGAGCAGTACCAGGCCAGTGCGGCTTCACTCAAAGGGGCGTTGGCAACGATCCGAGCCAAGGCTGCAGAAAGAGCGGAGAATGCCAAAAGGGAAAGTTCTCGCACGCCCAGAAGGAAGAGACCCCTCCAGATCGATTTGGTGGAGGAGGAAAAAGAGGACAAAGATGCGCAGGCCGCCGCTGCACCCCCTGGTGGGGCCTCTGCATGAGCCTTCGGGTCATGCAGGGGCCGGATGCCCTCCGCTTTGGCGTCGAGTTCCCCATCCCGGACCTGAGTGTCAGGTACGCTACCGACTTCGTGGACACGTGGACTGCTGCCTTCCTGGGAATCCAGTTACAGTTTGAGGTCGCGATGCTGGACCTCCCAGATGCAGTGCAGCCATCGTTCCTGCTCGACCCTCGACTACCTGCTACGGCTTGCCTTGGAGACGAGGAAAGCCAGACAGCCGAGGAATGCTTGGGCGGTTCCAATCAATCGGCAGAGGACGGTAGTGTTGTCTGTGAGGCTACTATCGTACAGACTGCCCGAGAGGCTCCTTCTGGTACAGCATTAGTGAGCCCTGTACATATTACTCAACAAGCCCGTAAGGTGCCGACTTGTACAGCAAGACATGTACAGAAGCATGCCTTAGCAATGCAAGTTCATTTTGATGGCAAGGCCCAGGGTGCTTCTTCTGGGTGGAATTGTAGGGCCTCTCGCTTTGGGGCGTGGGTTAGGAGTTTCAACCGGCTACCCGGGCCGCCTGCTCCAGGTGCCCTGTGCAAGGGTAGTGACAACACTGGCATCTCGCCTGCCCACCACACTGGCCCTCCCTCATTTCAGATGTCCTGCCCTGGCATACACAAGTCGGCTGAGCATGATGTCATGCCTGTGATTGTGCAGCAGGACCCTGTCGATGTTAAATACATCGGCCAAGGAGGCTTTACACCAGCACACAACAAGCTCCCCCTGCTGCAGCCACACACCCTGTTTGCTGAAGACATCCGCTCGTGCACCATACTGCTAGGACCTGAGCTAGACAGTGCCTCTCAGCAACACGACGGTCTATGGCTGCCTCCTAATCTGCAATTTGCAGATCTGATCTCGTTGGCAAGAACCGGGGCCATCTATGGTCACTACGCCATGTTTGACACGGTGGATCATTATAGAGCCAGAGCCTTTCACCCCACTTGGGGTCTGGTGGATGCGATCCGAGACGCGATCCGCAACACCAGAGCTGGGCCAATTGGGAGAATACGCATTTTGCGCATACCCTTCCCCGCCATTCCGAAGCTGCAAATTGTCCTCGAACCAGTGGGTATTGCCCCAGACTGGACGGTGCTCCCAATTGACGCAAGAGCAGCTGCCAATGTCTTCTGCACGCTCCTGGTGCCGAAGGCTGCGACGTGTTTTGCACACATGTACCAAGCAACACAGGCATGTCCTGCTTTGCCACTCGCCACGCACCGGTTCGTTGCCCGAGGACATTGGGCAGTGTTCCGGACGGCAGGAGGGAGAGCCCATCCCTTCGATGCGAACGTGCTAGACGACGATGCGGCACTTGTGCTTGACACCAGATGTGCTGGAGGCCACTCGTCTTCGGATAGTCAGTCGCTCCCCTCTCAGGAGGATAGCTCCCTTAGCAGCACGACTGCCTCCTCCGCTACCAGTGCTCTAGGCGGACATACACCCTTCGCCATTCGTCGGAGGCAAGACGAGCATGAGGACGAGATCGTGATTGCGTTTCACGCTTTAGGCAGCAGACCTTGGCAGGGTGTTTTTCCAAGATGCATCACTCCTGCTCAGATTGCGAGGCAGGCAGCACAGAGGATGCACAGTGATACTGGCCTGCGCCATTGGAAGATTGCGTTCATGCCTTGGCAGCCCATTGTCCCAGGCATAGACCTCCACATCCTCGTTCTGCAACATGCAGTAGGGGGTAAGCACTTCTTGCTAGATGTGCGACGCATCTTTGGTCCCCAGCTGTCGAACCTCAGACTCTTGTTGGCCACCCCTACTCAGGGGGACCCTCAAGGATTCGCATGTGCCTCGGAAGCCTTTCTGGATGAAGCAGGTTTGGCCGAACCATCCTGGTCCTGGCATGTGACCACTGACCGACCTGCCGCACTGGTCGTGCCGGCTTTGTCGGGACTCACAGCTGCCATCGAGGACTCGCTGCAAGTTGCAATGTTGTTCCCGGGCTTGCGGCAGGCGATCCTTCAACTGAGTGCAGAAGATCAGATGGTAGGAGGAACCACCTCCACCTCCACGACCACCACTGCTGTCCCAGCTAACGAGCCCTTCAGCTTTGCCATAGCCACGCCCCGCAGAACCATTGCCTTTTTGGGCATCCCGAACGGTGAAGAATCGGGGAATGTTGTTGAAGTTACGCTTGCCTGGGAGGCCGAACTGCATACCATCCTGCACAGACTGACACAGCAAGCCATTGCGCAGCGCCTGCTCCCAGAAGGACACTCCATTGCGGTGGCCAGGACACAGCCTGAAGCAAAGGCCGCTAGGAGAGAGCTTCTCTTCTATTTGGTTCCACCACAGACTGACAGAGACACGTGCTACGTGTGGGCTGACCTCAGGCCGGCATCACCGCTTACCTTCAGACGGGTGCGCACCTTTGCAGGACCCAACTGTTTGTTATTTCGGGGATCCAACGTCCGGGCCTTGTACATTAATGGACATAGATGGGATTCACCAAGCCAACTGCAAACGGGTGATCTAATCTCGGCCTCCATTGTGCCGCAGGCCCCTGATGTAAGACCACCTGACGTTGTTGCGGGACTTGTCAGCGGTTTACAAGCAGCCTTCGTGCCTCTGCCCCTACCCATCGATGCCAACAGAGATGCTCGCCTGGCGCAGGATCAGGAGATTTCATCGGCCTTCCATTGGGAATCCACTGTCAATGCGCGCATGCATTCCCTGGGTTTCATTAGGGGCAGGGCCTTTTTCGTGGTTATAGGTCCAGGGATTTCCTACACCGCATCTGTGGGTAGAACCCGACCGACACTGCAAGAGGTCGCTGACTGGGCCGAAGAATGGGTCAGAGGTGGCATGCCTGCTTTCAGACTGTATGATGCTGGCATCATGCAT